CTGCATTATTAATATATTAATTATATTAATATATTGACAGCCAGTCTTCCTGGGATGTGGGAACGAACCATCACTGTTGGCAGCGGTGGAAAGACCTTTAGTGCTACTGGCTGGAAGGTAATGCACAGACTGTCTCAGTATTTAAGTCGTGTGTTCGTCTTTACTGCACTTTGTTATGACCACGTGTTCTTTCTTTTCAGGTTGGCTGGGCCATCAGCTCTGGGCATATTATGAAACACATGAAAACCATCCATCAGAACACTGTTTACCACTGTGCTACAGCTGCTCAGGTAAATATATCAGTCCTTAACCATTTTAAATGGCCACATACTCAAGCCTCTATACCAAAGCTTACAAAAATACCAAATGCCATGCTAATCATCTAGAACTTTTTAATTTAATTTGATAGTGCGGACATTGTCATTGAACTTATTAGAAGACATGTTTCTTTCCACCTTTTTAATTAAAGTTACCGACAGTAAGTAAAGTATGAGGGGAAAATCTGGATTTAAATATGATCTGTACAGCTTAATTTAAGGAATTTTGCAGTCTTTAACTCAGACAATTTAGAATCTACCAGCACTTGACCAACAACCCTTCTAGCATATAGAAATAAGCAGAAAATGTTGAGGATATTATTCTATTGCTTTATTAAATGTGCCTCCATGTGTCACATTTGTCATTTGAACGTTTGTACATCTGGTGTTGGTCTTCTCATTCATCAGGAGGCAGTGGCTCAGGGATTTGAGAGGGAATATGAGCTGTTCGGGACTCCAGAGAGCTACTTCCAGCAGCTGCCTGCGATGCTGCACCACAAGAGAAAGAAGCTGGCTTCGTGTCTGGAGAGTGTGGGTTTGCAGCCCATCATGCCAGAGGGAGGTTATTTTATGATCACAGACATCTCCTCTGTCAGTGAGTGAAGAACAAACATCTGCATCCATCATTGCTTGAAATAAAAGAACTTTAATATCTTTTTCCCCCTGCTTATTCTCTGATTAGTGCTGAGTAATTAATGTTTAGGCTTTTGTTTTTGACAGAGGTGGACTACAATGACCAGAGCAGTAAGGATGAACCCAATGACTTTAAATTTGTCAAATGGCTGACTAAAGAGAAGGTAAATACTAGGCATACTAATAATACTTAATAGGATTTATTGAAGATGGATAAATTCATTCCTTTTTAAGCAGTGATCCAAGTGTTTTATTAGTGTTTTTGTGCATTTCATTTTTGTGTATGTGTTTGTATTTAAGATAAGATAAGACTTTATTGATCCCACACTGGGGAAATTCACTTGTTACAGCGGCTCCAGATAGAACATAGCAGACAAGAAAAAGAGAAATACACATTAAATAACAAAATAAAATAGGAAAATACAATATATAAAGAAAAAAATAGAATTAGGGTTGTTTATACACTAAATTCTGTTTTTTTATATATAGATGTGATTTAAGTTCAAATAGAATATTGCAGGAGGTAGTGGTATGTTGTAAAAAATAAATAAATGCACCAAACAAAAAAAAATATATATACAGCATATATATATGTTTTAGAATATTGTTTTTCTGGTTTTCCTAAATCTTTCTATATGATTTGGTTTTCTTGCTGCAGGGTTTAGCAACAATCCCCGTCTCCGCATTCTACAGTCCAGAGCACAGCAAGGAGTTCGACAAATACATCCGATTCTGTTTTGTGAAGGTAAATCCAACCAAAGTGAAATTAGACATTATTGTCACACTCTGTTGCTGTTCGGCAGTCGTTCTCACTCAGGATGGCCGTTTTTGTCTCACAGGAGGACGCCACTCTGGATGCAGCAGAGGACATCTTGAGAAAGTGGAGTCAAGGGCAGTAAAGTAGTCCCTGATAGGAGGCGTTACCCGTCCACTCAGACTTCACCAGGCCACTTAAAACCGCTTGGGTTACCTCATCAGTTAAAACGAGCCATATTGAGTGTTTCTGTGTGTGATTGCGTCACAGTATGGTACTTAAAAGCCACACCGATGTCCACCCTTACTTTGTCCTAATACTGCAATTAAAATGTGAAAACACTCAAAAATCCTTTTGATTGTTCCTGTGCAATGACTGTAAGCAGAAAACTGATAAAGAAAATATTAAGAAATATTAAGAAATATAACTGTTTCTCTGTGCAGATATTTGTCTTGAATTAAACTCACAAAAAATGTAATAAAACTTTTAATAAATCCATATGTTCGATTTTCTTTGTTACTCTTTTCTTTGTTATTCTTCTCTGTTCCTTTGTTCAAAAATTGTGTTGGGAGCATGGTAGAAAGGGCAGATATGTTTTTGATTTTTCAAAGAACATAATTAAAACTCCCATCCCACCAAATAAATCCCTGATAGTAACTCTTATCTGTGCTTCATTGGCTCAGTGTTTGGCTCATTCCTTATAAAGAAAATGTGTATATTATAGTCCTTGAATGTCCACATAAACAGTATGAATCAGAAAGAACCCCAACCTAATAGCAAATAAATATACAGTCATAAAGTGTCTTATTTACAGTTTGAGAAACAGAAAAACTGATTTACGAGCATTGCAGCAAATGTAACTAGAGTGTTAATCGTAAATTAATTCTATCACATTATACTGACCAACATGGTCAATAGCAGTAATTGTAAAGGTCTTTTATTTCAGGTATGTCTACTTTACAGATACTCACATCTTGTTACATATTTAATATGAGCGTTGGTGACCAACCTGAACTGGGAGTGTGTGCTGACAACATGAATGCGTTTTAATGGTGTCTGTAAAGAAATTAAAGAGAAAAATGATCTATGTAGAAATGAAAACAAAAAGGGTAGAGAAGTTGAAGTAAATTCACCAACAAAAGAAGCCATTTTCCATGAACAATCAGGGCAGAAACACCATAAAATCTTGCACAATTAAGAGAGCTGTAAAAGCTGTAAATGAGTATATTTTATTATATTTTTGCATTCTTACTGTTTCTTGCAGACTGCATTTTCTTGCAACTGACCCTGATGTTATTAAGATGTCATGACTCTGCATTTCGTTCAATAAAGAATTATTAAAAGGAAACCAAAGTGTCAGCATATAAAGGTACAAAAGGTTGAAAGGTCAGGGGAGGGAAGGAGGGGTGGAGGCGGCTGAAGGCTGTGGTAAATTTGACTCTGAGTTCAATTAGAAACCATTAACAGGTGGGTGCAGCCATACGGAAGAGACAATCATATAATAACTGAGGCTTTTGGCGAACTTTAACTGGACTTTTATTTCAGATAATCATGTCAGGACGACTTCATGCATGCAGGACAGACCGTGTCGATAAAAACGTTTGGTGAGTGATAATGACACAGGTGGACCTTTGACACATGAGCTACGCATTAGTTTAGGGGCTATTAACTATACAGACAACAGGTTAGTTCAGTCAGCTTGTAAGCAAACAGTTCCCTATAGAGGAGTATGAAGTGTTTTTAATAATTCAGAATGCTAGAACAATTTATAGTGCTTGATAAAACTTTGGGAACCCTGAAGTAAAACTCTGAGTTGAGCCTGTCAGGAAGCTGTACTTCCTCAGCTTTAAATCCACCCATCTTCTTGATCATATGTGCTAAAATATCTTCTTACAGCAACATGATCCCTTGACTTTCTGTTATTTTATTGCTTTATTCATTGATTTACTCTCATTGAATAAAAACCCAACTTTTACACTTAAATGCAGCATTAATAATTGTGCGACAAAATAGAGAAAAAATAAGACAGCAGGTTTCATATAATCTACAACTAATCAGATAGTTGGACATGTTTCATGTTTATACTCTTTGAACATATTACAAAGAGTTTTTAACTGATTATGAAACAGTCTCAGTTTAATATGGATGCCTCTATGTGACGTACATAAACAAACAAGACCCTCAGCGAGAAGATTGTCTGTTTCTATATATTTGTATTACATGGAACTGGGTCAGGTTTGGTTGGATTTCCCTCAAAATCAATAAACCTATGTAGTAGAAACACTACCACTTTTTTTCCACAGGGGCTCCCAGAATCAACAAATAATTAAAGTCCCATCTTGCAGCTTTAACTGCATTTCATAACTTAAATAAAATTAAAACATATATAAAACAATTTTCTGTCGATTACCAAACCAACTCTGTTACTTTCAGATGAAAGCATACGTGGAAATAAGTGGGGTTTTTTTTACACTTTCTGTTTTAATCCCTCCGGTATGTATACATCATTGATATGTGGGTATTTTAGTTGATGAACACTCTCAATGACAGTCCTGTAAACATTTATTCTAAAGCATTTCATATCCTCATTTACTATTTATTTACTGATTATATGATTGATTCTTTATTTAGATTTGATGAAATGGCAGGAGCACATGTGCCTCAAAAGGCATTACATGATCTTTTACATACTAGATTGTTATTTAGAACATGTACTTCTTATACGCCTCTATTAACATTTACAGACAATTTTGATGTCATTGCAGCGCTTGACAAGCAGTTTTGTACCAACAGGGTTGAATTCACACAACTAGCAGCAGACTATAAAGCAGTGAACCTCGGACAGGGATTTCCTGACTTCTCCCCTCCCAAAGTTTTGTCCCAGGAGGCTTCTGTAAAGTCGTGAGGTGGAGGGCCGCCTAATGCCACCAGTACACCCGAGCTTTTGTAAGTGGGAATACACACTTTATTTTTCTATGAATGTCAGAGAAGCGCTAAGAGAAAACATTCTGCTTTTTCCTGGGAATTTCCCAAATCCTGAGGTTCGAGTTTAATTATTTTCAACAAATAGATGCTGAACAAATAGTGAGAGACGCCTTATGTTTTCACGTAATTTCTTTCCTCAGGGCCACCCCCCTCTTGTAAAAAGTCTGGCTAAATTCTTCAGTAGGATTGTGGGACATGAGATCGATCCATTTGAAGACATCCTGGTCACAGTTGGAGCTTATCAGGCTCTCTTCTGTGCATTTCAAGCTCTGGTTAATGAAGGGGATGAGGTACGAAAATCAACCCAAGTCAGGTCAAGACATTTATTCAACAATTTCTTGCAAAATGTAAACAAATTATGTATGGGAATTTCTCCTAATATTACTTAAAAAACACTGGCCAAAGTATATGCTAAGAGATGAAGAAAACCAAAATGTGTCTTTCAGGTCATAATTGTTGAACCGTTCTTTGACTGCTACCAGCCAATGGTGACGATGGCTGGAGGAAAGGCAGTGTATGTACCTCTGAGGCCGGTGAGTGGTTTACTCAAGAGTTATAAAGCGACTGTTGCCAGCTTTTCTTTCCTTTCCATCATCCTTCAAGGATTTCTTTTGTTACTTACAGAAAGCTGAGGGGAATGCCGTCCTGCCAAGTGGAGACTGGGTTCTTTCTGCAGAGGAGCTGGCCAGTAAATTCACTCCACGCACAAAGGCCATCGTTATCAACACTCCCAACAACCCATTAGGCAAGGTCAGACATTAACAGACTATAGTGTCTCTTTAAAAGCCAGCTGGTTGATGGACTGTTAAACATTTTGTTCTTTTACTGGATATAATGTGTCTTGGACTACATGTCCGTTACAGGTTTACAAGACCGAAGAGCTCCAAATGATCGCTGATCTGTGCATCAAACATGATGTGCAGTGCATCAGCGATGAGGTGTACGAGTGGCTGACTTATGATGGAACCAAGCATGTAAAGATAGGTGTGTAGGAGAAATTCTTATAAAAGATTGAGAGTTGCTAGTTCTCTGAAGAAATTACAGACACAATGGTCCTTTGATCTGACAGTGTGACTATCAACAGATTCCTAACAAATCAATTGCAATCTATCTGCATTATTAATATATTAATTATCTGCAGGCAACAAAGCTCGCTTTTAGTTTAAGGTCATTAGAAGCAGGATTCGTTTGTGGATCACAGTGACCAGCGAACAAAAACCAAGACAGGCATAGAAAGACCTTTCTTACTGCCAGCTGGCCCAGGTTCACGCCACGTCCTGCAGCTCCTAAGTGTGACAACATATATCATACGTTTGACTGCAGTATGTAATATTTCTTGTCTATCTAAACAACGACATCCAAAATGTCCCGAGTGGCAGAGGAGACGGTGAATGTGTCACAGGGGGAGCGATTATGTGAGGTCCAGTGTAGTTCCTCGTTGGGCGGCGGGTTCTAAAACAGATGTCAGTTTTGGAGGATCGTACAATCATGTTATTTTGGGCTGTGGTGTACAACACTGTATGTGTCTGTTGTCATTCCATTTAATGCCTCTGCATGGAACTGGCAGCAGAAATTGGAAAGGGAGACTCATCTAGTATATTGAAAACATAAAGTAAATTGGGAGATATTTTTGGTTTGCCTCATGTTAAATACAGGGGAAAAGGACGAAGACAGGCGGAGAATAACTTCATGGGCGTCACAATTCACTGTAATAAAGACTTCTGCTGTTCTTGCATCGACTACTGAAGTGGTGCGAAGCACAAAATAAAACAAATAAACTCCGTCCACCCACACACAAACACTACACACAACACACAGTTGGGCTCTTTTTACACCGTGCCCTCAAATGTTGCTGTGGAGATGCCTGAGAGTCCCTCCTTTGAGCTTTGTAACCGATGCAGTTGCCTGTTCTTCCAGCTCTTGGAGCAAACCACCTTCTCAGCCATTATATGTTGGTGTCTGCACTCACTGGATGCTAGACATTTACAAAGTCAGATTACCAAACACACACTGCACAGATGGAGAGGTACCGACAACTCTTCCACACACATTTCTGTAATAGTGTGCAACCGAATAACCAGGCCCCGCTTCCTTAGAGAATCACACAAA